ACAATTGGGCACTCTTAATTGTGTTTATTCCAAACACTTTCCACATCAAAACGGATGTTTAAAATGAATAAATTTGATATTGTGAAGTAGCCCATCTTTAGTCCTGATGTTTATTAAATAGAAAGATTAAAAAATCATCCAATTATTCTTGGAAAATGTGCATGAATGTGTGGTATTTGGAACTCTATTTTAGAACCCAAATGTCATAGACATCTGGACACAAAAATTATGCAAGAGAGACCTTTAGAAATGTGTTACTAATTATTGACTCTTCCCTGCAACAACACAACTGAGCCTTTGTTACACGCACTATGTGCAGTACTGCTATAGACTGGCTTTTTTCACATTATGGTTTATTTTCATAAGATATTTCTCATAACTAACATCACAAAGCACTTCATGGAGTTAATAATAAAGCTAGTAAGCCTCAGAAAGAAATGAATTATGTTAACAGTGATGAATAGATAAAACAATAGCTTAGAAAAAATTGTATAAGAAAGGAAGAGGAAGAAATATGATCAAGCTAGCTCAAGAATTAGGCAACTAGGAAAATGCAGGGCAACTAGCTATAATGGAGAGGTCGCGTGCAGCTGTGGAGTCAGGAGAACTGGATTCTAATACTGGTCTTATAACTTACCAGATATGTCTTTTCCTCTCTCTCTGCTCTAATTTATTATCCATAACATGAAAAGATGGTACTTTGCAATATTTAAGATCTCCTTCTGTTGTAAAATATAGTTTATAAGAGTTTAAAATACCATGAGTTCAACTACTATTAAGTAACAACTATATGCACCAGGAACAGTTCTCAGTGAGAGTGTCTAAGAACCAGGCAAGATCCTGGTTCTCATAGAGCTTAAATTCTAGCGGGGAGGAAAGACAAACAGAGAAAGAGCTATAAACAAAATAGTCGTAGCGAGTAGCAGGAACTATGAAGAAAATAAGACAGGATCATATTCTAAAGAGGAACTGGGTGGTTTGGGGCAACATTACAGAGACAAGCAGGGAATGGCTAAGATCTAAAGAGAGAAAAGAATCCAAATTTGTGAAATCCAAGAGCCAAGACATTCCTGATGGAAGTTACAGTGCCAAAGACCTGGGTAGAGGACAGACTAGATTTCCTTGAGAAACACAGAGAAACCAGTGGGGTTGGAATATAGAAATGAGTGGAAGAAGGACCAGGAAAAAAAGGTAAACTAAGTCATGTAGATCCTGATAGGCTATGGGAGGAAGTTTGAATTTTATTATTTTATTTTATTTTATTTTATTTTTTTGCAATGGGCAGCACCAGGAGAGATTTAAGCTGGAAAGTGACATGATCTAATTTATTTAAAAATATCGCTTTGGCCAATGTCTTGGGGCTTGATTGCAGATGGCACAGGGAAAGCAAAGAAACCAATTTCAGAGGCAAAATGCCAGGTAAGAGATAATGGTAACCTGGACTAAAATGAACAGGGAGAGGCCTGAAATGTACTGAGTGGTGATGTATTGGTCTAAATCCTCGTATTTAAATGCCTTCAGTGTTAATGTGATACTTTAGAAGCTGGCTCAGATCAACTCATAAATTTTGTAACTTTGATTTAAATTCAGTGAAAAATGAAGGAGGTCAGCAAGGATAAGAGTAATGCCAAATAAATGTCATTTGCTCTGAAAATTTCTGTACTGAATTTGGTGCCATGCATATTTGGGGATTTTCACTCAGGTTTGCAAGTACAGAAAAATGGAGTATTTAGAAAAAGAAATCATATATCTTTATGATAGTTTGATGACCAGCATGGATTACAATAGGTACTGCTGTCTATATTTTTTAAAATATATGACTTTATTCAGCAGTCTATATTGTGAAACATTAAATATTTTCAAGGGATGGTCTTCTTACTTTGAACAATTCCTCTAAACCAATTTGGCGCAATTAAACAACTGTAACTGTCCTTTTTTTTCTTTCTTTAAGATTTTATTTGTTTATTTGTCAGAGAGAGCACACAAGCAGGAGTTGCTGCAGGCAGAGGGAGGAGCAGGCTCCCTGCTGAGTACAGGGCCCTACGTGGGACTCGATCCTAGAACCCTGGGGTCATGGCCTGAGCCCAAGACAGACGCTTAACCAACTGAGCCACCTAGGTGTCCCAATTGGAGCTATCCTTAAAAATATGTAAAACATATCAGTTTCTACTGCTGTTTCATTACATTTGTAAACACACTGGTCAATAACAGTAGAAAATCAAGACGTGTACTCAATTCAGAGAGAGCTAAGGAATAAAGGCTGTTAAAATTGCCTATTTCTTATTTAAAAATATTAGCATTCTATATCAATGTGTATAATATAAACAGACACTTCCTAGGTTTAAAAAATGTCATTTGTAGGCTGCTTACTTAAAACTTGGGAATAATTTTCCCATAGAAATAATATAACTTCCCAGGCCAGCCCAAAAATATCTGTTTATTATATGTAGTCAATATTATATGGTCAAATATTAGTGGTACCATACCTTAAGGTTACAGGAAGCATAAGGGCCCCCTTATACAAGAGGAATATAAAGAATAAAAATATTTCCATGCTTTCTCTAGATATAGGCATAACTCTGGAAAATTATTTTGCCATACAATAATTTTGAGATTCTACTGTCTCCTTCTGTGCAGCTCTCAGCCCTAAAAGTCCTGGGCTTTTAGATTACCTGGGCAGCTACTAGTTAATTAAACCCAATTTTGTATACACCCCAAATTGCTCTTTACCCTCTAATTATCTGCCTCCTCTCCTTGCCAAAATGATTCTAGTTTTTCCTCAGTGTCATTTAAAAGTTAGGAAAGCAATCTGACTAAACAACATATTAGTCTAGGACTTTTTAAAAAAGATTTGTTTATTTATTTATTTTTATTTGACAGAGAAACACGGTGAGAGAGGGAACACAAGCAGGGGGAGTGGGAGAGGGAGAAGCAGGCTTCCTGCTGTACAGGGAGCCCGATGCAGGGCTCGATCCCAGGACCCTGGGATCATGACCTGAACCAAAGGCAGACGTTTAACGACTGAGCCACCCAGGCGCCCCTAAACAACATATTAATCTATAAATGGCTGGTCAATAAGTAAACTTCAGAACTATGTGTTCCTTAAAAATGGATGCCTATTAACTTGAGTGAATCCCTAACATAAATTCAGGTAATCTAATAAAAGAATTATTACAGAATCTGGGATAGCATATATTAAAGGGAAAAAGAATGGAGCTCCATAATTTTTCCACTTTCTTTACTTCCAGAATCTCAGCTCTGTAAGAGCTCCACGTATAAATTCCTTCATGCATTTTAACCGAGTAAGTCTTTACTACAGTTCTGAGTGGGTAATGTCCTACTTGCAGAAGAAATTGATATAACTCTACTATTCTCAGCCATATATTGAGGATCCATCCCCTTAGAATATACCCCTGGTGAGCTTTTCCCCCAAGCAGGGCTAAGCACCAAACCTTCACTCATCTAAGAGTCACCTTTTCCTCTCCACTCAAATAGTTCTTGAAATTTTTCATGTTTTCTATAAAGTTTTCCTAGGCTGGTCAGAGAACAGTAATTGCATATATGGTACCACTCTGTCTGGAACTGAGATAGATTGCCTCCTATTTGGTGAGACAGGGTAGGAAAGAGTTCTAGACCAGTTTTTGTGCTGATGCAGTTACTAAGCCTAAGCAAGTCATTTCCATTTTGTGTGTCTGTTTCCTCATCCAACTGGAAGATGAATGTGTGTGTATAGGGGGTTGTAAGGGATATGTAATACCTGGTCATCTTCTCTACCAAATTGATGTCCAGATCAATGAGATGATTTATCTGAAAACTCTTTGAATAAATAGAAAGCATTGTATTTTAAAACACAGCTATTTGTTGAGCTCTCGCTAAGTCCAGGTACTGTGCCTGGTACTTCTCTGTGCTTTATATCATTTAATCAACAAAGAAGAAGGTATTAGTAACCCCATTCTACAGAGGAGGAAATGGAGGCTTAGATTGGTTAAATGCCAACAGTCCAAAGGATGTGGTCAGCCCTCTAGTCATGTGGCACGTTGGTGGGAGAGCCGGACTGTGAGCCCAGGCCTGTGTGGCTGCAACGCCCATCCCTTTACCTGGTTTATACTGCCACCCATTTCACACAGGGAAGTCAGTCCTAGCTGCCTCATCTCTTCTTAGGAACCCTAAATACGCTTATCCCTAAAACATACAATCTCAATCCAATCTACTAATTTTTTTATAGTGACTTACTCTCTTTATTTTGCTATTCATGTGTTACATGTCAATGTACTCTGTAAAATCCATGAAGTTCTTTAAGGCCCCTTTTCTCTAGTGTTCTTTATATCATTCCTATGCTTATACAGACGTATAAGCAACCTTTCTAAGTATTTTATGATGAGGAGGGGGAAGAATCAAGAATCTAGGTTGGTGGGAGGGTGAATGAATCTATTGAAAAGGGTCCCCAAAACCAATGCTCCTCACAGGAACAACGGAGAGTGTTCAGATTTCTAAGTGGCCAGCTATAGTATAGTTAAGCACCAAAATATGCTAATATTGTGTAAAGATAATTTTAAAAGTTGTGTGTGGGTAGTGAGTTGTGAGTCATATACTGAAAGAAGCTTAGGGTTTTTTTTTGTATTATATAAATAATTGGAATCACATTTCAGAAAAGTGCCCAAAATAGAGCAACTAGGATTAAAACCTTTAAAAAAAATACATTGAAGGGACGCCTGGATGGCTCAGTCCGTTAAGTATCTGTCTTCGGCTCAGGTCATGATCCCAGGGTCCTGGGATCAAGTCCCGCATCGGGCTCCTTGCTCAGTGGGGAGCCTGCTTCTCCCTCTGCCTGCTCTGCCTACAGGTTTCCCTGCTTGTGCTCTCTCTCTCTCTGGCAAATAAATAAATAAAATCTTTAAAAAAAATACATTGAATAATTTCTTTTTTTCTGAGAAGCTGACATTGGTTTGTATCTATATAGTAGATCAAAACCAAGTATTTTTTTTCTCTCTCTTATACAGGTGTGAAACATAATGCAGATAATGCACAAGTTATGCCCTTCAAGGCCATGAATAATTGTGGCCAACCTTGGACAAGAAGTCGGTCATCCCAAGAGTAGAATTAAAAAAAAAAAATGAAGTCAACTCCTGGGCTACACAGAGAATACCTGTACACACACTCTCTTCTGAGCCTCTGTGACCGCGGGAAACCACGGGGGAGATGATGTGAACAGAGAGCCTCTCTACTAGCCTCTGGCAGTGAGTAATTCTTCTACCCAATATAACTTTATGAAGGTCACCTCCCATCTGCTTTTGAGTTGAGGCAGAAAGAGAAATGTTTTGGAGGGTCAGTATGAGAAAGATTCAGCTCTTTGTGTTTAATTTTGCCTCTTCCTTTTCAAAACGTTATCTTGGGACTGTAGTTGTCAAAACCATCATGTGTGGAGTCTAGTCACTATCTAGGGAACTACTGTGAGGTACTTCCAGAATGCTATTGCCTAGGATCAAAAATCGGAAAGTATAAAAATATGGAAGATAAGACCTGTCTTCTATAGAAGAAACCGGTTGTAACTGAATGCCTGAGAAAACTGCGACCATCCAAGTCTTATCAGAGTGATTGCCTTATTCCCCCATCTACATGTAAGGTGATTGAGAGGAAGTAAAAATCATAACTAGGAGAACAAGGCCAGGCCAAGACAAAAGGCTGAGTAGCAAACTGTCAAGGGTGAGGGGGGGAGTTCTGAGGTCACCTATTTATTATGCCCTGTCTTAAACAAAACAAAACAAGTCAAAATTGTTAGCAGACTGCAAGAATCTAGGCAGTGGGAAAAACCAAACTCATCTCCCCAAACAGAAGAGTTGGTAGTGTTTCTCCTGCACTGGTCAGGAGAAAGTCATTTACCCTACCAGACGCAGTGTGTCCAGGTCCTGGAGAGTAAGTGGACTCTGTTACAGTGAAGTCAGGAATATTTCATCTGGCTTTTTTTTTTTGGTCTGGAAGAAATGTCTCATAAGACTGGCCAGTGTCCCTTTGTTATGAGTCCACATTCAACAAGTGGCCCTCTGATTTCTAATTTTACCTCCTATTTAAGACAGGAGTGGATATGAATAGCAAGGTCTCTAAACATGTCTGTATCTTTTATTGTTAATTAATACGTTTGCATTTTGTTTTATAACTCAAACTTTTATGACTGTTGAGGTTAATAGCTACACCTAATAATTGAGTCAGTTCAAGTTCATTTTCAAGGTCAAATTTCTTGGACACACCTCGACATATCTGGACTAAAACCTAAAACACGGGATTAGAGCAGAATAAGGCAAATAGGTTGACCAGCTAACTTTTCTCTATGATTACTTTATGCCATACTACTATAACTCCAACAACAGGAAGAAGATTTTTGTGGTAGGTGAAATAATTTTTTGCACTTCATGACTGAAGACAAAGAATGAGCAAATGCTGTAGGTGACAGAGGCAATAACACTGTTTCAGTTCCAAGCATCTGGCTTTTGAAAACATTTGCATGAGAGTTAAAAACTTTTCAAGTTGTGTGCATGCCCAATATCATTTAACATAGCTAAAGACTGTTATACAATATTGAGGAATGCAATCAATCCTTAAGTTATGTGTCCTATTCCATGTTAGGCGTTATGTACAATGTCTGGAAATCCTAACTGAACAAGGCACACAAATAAATAACTAAAATAATCAGTGATGAATTGTGAGATCATGTACAAGGCATAGTGATGGCAAGGGACAGAGAAGTCCCTGATCTTGGGGCTAAGACAGCTCCCTCTGAGCTATGTTTTGAAAGAAATGCCATGTATTGCTGTCTTGGCTGAGGAGGAGAAAGGGAATTCTAGGTAGAGGAAATGGCTGGGAAGCAAAACCTGGAAAGTATGAAACAGATTGGTTTGTACAGCACATTGCTGGAATATTGTCCAGGCAACAGGAAGAGGTAGAAGGCATGCCTGTTAATGACTTAATCAAGTGGGTGTTGGAGGGGTTGTTGGTGACACTGAAAATAGGGAAACAACATGACATTAAGAAAAGTGTCGCTGTCGTGACAAAAAGGCAAAGGTGAGCAGGAGACAGGAAGACCAGCAAAGAGTGTAGGTCCTGAATTAAGGCAGTTGTAATGAGACTGAAAAAGAAAAGGCAGGTTTGCGAATGGTTTGGCAGCTAGAACCGGGAGGGCTTTGTGACAGATTGTGTTTGGGGGCGAGAGAGGGAGGAACTAGCATAATGCCTAAATTACTGGCTTTGGAACATAGGGATCTTTTATTATATCTTTCTCTAAACCATTATACATTATTCATTGTGAGATTGAAGATGTGCCTGTGTAGTGAAACATCATTCATTTCCGACTAAGGGAATCCCTAGATTAGAAATCAACCCCACCTACTCCTATCCATGCTTTTCCTGTCCATTTTGTGCTTTTCTCAGGAAGCTATGAGATCTGGCTCCAGGGGAAAAACAAAAACAAAAACATGTATAACTAAAACAGACCGATTGTCCTAGAGAAAGAAAAATATGAAAGCCAGAAGATACAATTAAACACATTTGGAATGCTTAGAACTAAGTGTCCATGGCTTTATCACAGACTGTAGCTGTGCTTGGTGTATACAGTTCTGCCTGGTTTTCATTAAGCAAAGAAACTGGCTTTCAAGAGCAAAAATGTAAAAACTTATCAAGTTACAGGATAACCGGAGACTTGTGCTTGAAAATTTAGATGTATATTAACAAAATTCCATCTTGATTTTTTCTACTGGATAAAAATAATGAAGCAAATATATATTATTCTTTTTTTTAAAGATTTTTTTTATTATTTATTTTGACAGAGAGAGAGAGAGACAGCAACAGCGAGAGAGGGAACAAAGGCAGGGCGAGTGGGAGAGGGAGAAGCAGGCTTCCCGCTGAGCAGGGAGCCCGATGCGGGGCTTGATCCCAGGACCCTAGGACCATGACCTGAGCCCAAGGCAGACGCTTAACGACTAAGCCACCCAAGCACCCCAAATATATATTATTCTAAATGTGTATTGCATTCTCATATTAAGGATGTTGAAGGGTTAAAAAGTTTACAGGAATATTATTTCTCAGATTTTGCTCAGAGTGTCATATTGCTTCATATCTTGCCTCTGTGTGACCATTAGGGAGGCATTCTAGTGTCGTGGTCGGTAAGCTAAGCTCTGGAGTTAGATTGCCCCAGATCAAACACTGACTCTGTCACTTATGCCTCTGGACACTTCATCAGTTGCCCCTGCTATCTTGTCACACACATAAAGCTAATAATATCAACATGATCTTTGGGCAGAGTCCAATTCCAACATAGAAATATTAGATAGAATTTGACTTCAAGAAATATATGATCTAATTCAGTGGTGCTCAAACTTTATTGGGCATTAGAATCACCTGGAGGGCTGGTTAAGACACAGATTGCTGGGCCCACTCCCACATTTTCCAATGTAGTAGATCTGGGATGGGGATCAAATATTTGCACATCTAGCAAATTCCAGGTGATGGTCTGGGGCCTATACTTCGAGAAATACTGATCTAATTGAAAAGAGAATTCTTTAGAAAAAAAAAGAAGAGAGGCATAATAGTACTTAGAAAACATGAGTATAGGGGTGCCTAGGTAGCTCAGTCGGTTAAGCGTCTGCCTTTGGCTCAGGTCATGATCCCAGGGTCCTGGGATTGAGGCCCTCATCAGGCTCCCTGCTCAGCGGGGAACCTGCTTCTCCCTCTCCCGCTCCCCCTGCTTGTGTTCCCTCTCTCGTTGTCTCTAGCTCTGTCAAATAAATAAATAAAATCTTAAAAAAAAAAAAAAGAAAAGAAAACATGAGTATACAGTTTGTCACAATTTTATTTAGGAAGCTAGACTATAGACACTGGGAAATCCAGTGGCTGATGAGCCATTAAGTGAGAATCACTAACTTTGTTTTATTACTAGGATGACCTTGAGTTTCTACCATTGTAGGAATGCATCCCCATAATTAGAGTATGCATTAGCCCCACTCAGAGAAACCAATTAATTCAACTCACCTTTTCCAGTATTTTAGGGTTTTATGCTTGAACCTGAACCAGACCAAACCATGAACCATCAACTGGTTATGCCAGACTAATTTGTTGAACTCCAGAACTAAATTAAATCCAAGGGACGCCTGGGTGGCGGTTAAGTGTCTGTCTTCAGCTCAGGTTATGATCCCAGGTTCTGGGATCAAGTCCCGCATGGGGCTCCTTGCTCTGCATGGAGCCTGCTTCTCCCTCTGCCTGCCGCTCCCCCTGCTTGTGCTCTCTCTCTGACAAATAATAAAATCTTCAAAAATTAATTAATTAATTAATTAAATCCCAGATACCCTTATACCCTTTCCCTCAAGTGTGAGCCAAATGAAAGAGATTTGTTTAAAAAAAAAATGAACTAGGGGCGCCTGGGTGGCTCAGTCGTTAAGCTTCTGCCTTCGGCTCGGGTCATGATCCCAGGGTCCTGGGATCGAGCCCCGCATCGGGCTCCCTGCTCCGCGGGAAGCCTGCTTCTCCCTCTCCCACTCCCCCTGCTTGTGTTCCCTCTCTCGCTGTATCTCTCTCTGTCAAATAAATAAATAAAATCTTTAAAAAAAAAAAATTTGAACTAGTTCAAATTAGAAACAAACCTTTTAGTTTTTTAAAACAATTGAAATCCAAGATCATATTTCCTAACATACCAATTCATTAAAAGTGAAATGAAACAAAACAAAACGCTGTTTAAGGGGTACTTAGTACCCCTGTACTAAGTAACAAGTAGTTGACTGAAATGCTAAAATAGTAAATCCCTCTAAGAGTCTGGGTCCCAGCAAGAAAAAACATTCCACTCATAGGTTTCAAATCAAGACACTTTAATGAAGGAATTCCTTGCGGTGATGTGGGAAGGGATTTAAGGAAACAAAAGAGTGATGTTGGGGAAGACAGGCAACAGCAGAAAGTCATTACCAAGGGGTCTAAGAGGCTGAAGAAGAACATGGCCTTTACTGAACCCAGTGAGAAGAGCCATGGAAAAGACAGGAGATTTAGTCTTGGGGAACACCCCATCCCCACCCCACCCCCATACACCACAACATACACAAATTAGAACAGGGTTGCTTAATCAAGAAGGAGATGGAGAAGAAATACCCCAGCCTTTCTCTCCTCCCAGCCTCTGATCACTTCCTTATGCCTCCCCCTGTCTGAACTGAAAAATCTGGTGTCAGTGGAGCCCCAGTGACTGATCTACAGGGTCAGCTTCCTG